GGACGAATAATAAAGACGTATAGACGTATAGACGTATAGACGTATAGACGTATAGACGTATAGACGTATAGACGTATAGACGTATAGACGTATAGACGTATAGACGAGGACGTATAAGACGCTGAACACGTATAAGACGCTAAAGATGTTTCTATTAATCGTAGGTCATGCACGCACTAGCGGCGTAAATTAGCAGGCGCCGATACAGAAAGATGGCGGGGACGAGCAACGCGGCGCACCAGCGGCTGTACTTTGATGCAGAGGAGATGCGGAGGATGGCCATGAGGGAGGAGGAGCAGCCCCCCACGCCGTACGGAGAGGTATGAGAAATAGTACCTCGAACAGAGTGCAAATTTGATCCCACATCATACTAATCCGAGCCTGGCAATACCCCGTACAGAGTGCAAATTTGATCCCACGTCAAACTAGTCCGGGGGCCTGACGCACAGTGCAGCGTGTACGCGCTATCCCGCGCTAAATACGCGCTAGTCTGGACTAAGTTTGCCCCGCAAATGCAGGTGGGCCAGGCCCAGTTATAGAAGCGTGCTAAGTTGCTAAGCCTGCACTGCGATTTAGTGTGCGCCCAGCGCAGGCCTGGCCCACACTATAGTTGGATGAGGGATCAAATTTTGCAGTCTGTACAGGGTAAAAGAGAATAAGCATAGATCGCTAGCTGAAGCTGCATGCATGCCTCACCACAGATCTTTCCTTCGTGGTACGCGATCGTAAAAGCAGCAAACGTGTTTCCATCGATAAAATTGCATAGAAAGAGAAATCGAAAATGTCGTTATATAAGATTTTGAGCAGCAAGATGTGATATTTCATTTAGTACTGAACACAGTATTATGTATCGACACGGCGGTCGTGGGAAAAAGCCACACTTTGATCGGCTACAAAAACCTACATTCGGGTGAACGCTCTCTTGTTCCAGCTGTCGCTGTGTTCTGGCGTCTCGGAGCATCCGAGCGAGTCAGCCGACTCTCGCTACGAGTTCGCCCGTGGCGACGCAGCCTCCTCCTCCTCCGCCGCCGCCGCCGAGAAATGCGAGCGACTGTACATGGCGATACACATGGCGCCGCCTGGCGACGACGCGGTGCGGGAGTGCGGCATCGCGTCGCTGCGTCCGCGCTGCCTGCAGCGCTTCGCGAGCGTTCGCTCGTTCACGACGCTCTGCTGCGCGCTCGTCATGCTCTCCGGCACGCTCTCCTCCGGCTACTTCAACAGCGTCATCACGACCATCGAGAAGAACTTCGAGATCACGAGCGGCGTCTCCGGCATCATCGCGAGCGCGGGAGAAACCGGCAGCCTCTTCGCCGTCGTCTTCGTGAGTTACTTCGGCAGCCGTCGCCACATCCCGCGCTGGCTCGGATCGGGCGTCGTCCTCATGGGCCTCGGAGCACTGCTCTTTTGTTTGCCGCACGTGATATCGGAGAGCTACACGGTGCGCGGCCACCTGTTGGCGAATGTTACGGAGGAGAACATATGTCGCGCGGCGAGCATCAACCTAGAGGATCATCTGGCGAGTCAGGAGTGTGAGCCGGTCAGTTCCTCCAGCAGTCTCTACATCCTCATCCTCGTTATCGCACAGGTGAGCATGCACGCAGCCTCTCTCCTCGCTTTTAATCATTACTTGTCGTTTTGTTGTCGTGATAATTAATGATAATTATGATTAATTTTACTCTTTTTTACTTTATAGGTATTAGGTAACGATTATTATAAATCATTATTATATAGGTAATCAGAGCAGGTGACCATGCAGCCTCTCTCTGTTACATTGTATCAGGGGTAAATTTTATTCATTTCGTATTTTGTAATTGTATTTTATATAATTGTAATTTGTCATTATTAACCCCTGATTGTATGTTGTTTTGTAGGTCATGATAGGCGTTGGAGGCACTCCCATCTACACACTAGGAACGACGTATATAGACGATCATGTCAGGAAGGAGAGTGCTTCTCTGTATATTGGTTAGTTTCACACTGTCGGTATAGTGTCAAATATGCAGGAGGATGAAGAGACAGACATAAAGAAGAGGGAGAGAGAGAGGGAGTGGGTGATGAGATGGAGCGTGAGGAGAGGGAAGGAAAGGGAGAGAGCAGAGAGAGAGACAGAGAGAGAGAGAGAGAGAGAGAGAGAGAGAGAGAGAGAGAGAGAGAGAGAGCGAGAAGAGAGAGAGAGGAGATGATAGAGAGTAGAGATAGAGAGTAGAGAGAGAGGAAGAGCCTCGTTCGATGATGTATGTGCGCGAGAGCGGAGCGTAGGGAGCGGAGATGCGAGAGCGAGGGCGAGAGCGAGAGAGATGAGATGAGGAGGCATGAGACGAGAGAAGAGGAGAGAAGAGAGAGAGAATTGGAGCGAGCGATGTGTGATAGTGTGATGTGTGTGTGTGTGTGGGTGTGTGAAAGATTGAGTATTGGAGAGTGAGGTGAAAGAGCAAGAGAAGGGGTGGAAGAAGCAGAAAACTAGAGGAGGCGAGAGGTTTGCATGGGTGGGGAGTGCGTGGGGGGGGAGGTGGGGGCGGGGGATAGGTAAAGAGCGGAAAGCTTCGTGAACGGAAATTTTTATCACAGGAATATGTTTCATTCACCATTACAGCCGCTTTTTCACAAGCCAGCCCTAACATTCAAACTTTCGAGATATTTTTACGGCATCGTAAACCTTTATTTATAATCAGCTGCTTCAACGTTTATAAATCTAAGCAACAGTAGAATAATTTGTTGTCCATCTCACGTTTTTTACGTGTAATAACCATCGAGCTTTTCGAACTTGTCGAAAGTGCATTCCCTCGCTAGTTTAAATTAGGTTGTAAAACGCCGACAGTTTATCCACATGAGCCGTTAGCAACAACATAACAGTCTCGCCCACTTACACCGATTTCATCAGAGAGACGAGAGCAAGCGCGGGTTGACTCGATTTGAACTCTAGCCGCTCGTTATTTTCGGAGAAAGAGTGAGCTATAGTTGGGTACCCATTCAGTTATTAACCAACATCGATGAGCGACTTAGATGTTGACGGGCACTTTTCAATCTCCTACGCACTCCACCTTACTGTGGCGTATATTATATACTTAATGTCAACGCGCTGCCTTTCCTTGACCTTGCTACGACAACGTCTATAACACGTAACGCATAAACATAACATAACACTTGAGCGGCCCCCGGAAACATCAGGCGGGAAATATAGTGCGAAATATAGCCCCAGTTAGGCACTTTTTAAGCGGGGGGGGGGGTCTGGGGTCTTGGGGGTCCGGGACTCCCCCACCAAGAAATTTATTATTTAAAATTAATTGCTTGTTGGCGGGGCGCCGCTAGGCCACTTAGGCAGGCCAGACCACGGGAAATGCCTTGGAGCCTCCGATAACATAAATAAACATAACATACATAAAATAACATAACATAACATAACATGAACTAAACATAACATACATAACAATAACATAACATCAACATAACATTAACATAACATAACACTAACAAACACATAACACTAACTAACATACATATAACATAAACATAACATAACATAACATAACATACATAAATAGATAACATAACATTAATAGCATGCATAGCATAGGCATAGCATAAGCCTTAGCACATAGCGCATAGCAACATAGCCATGAGCATAGCTAAAGCATACGCATAGCATAGCAATAGCAAGCATGCATAGCATAGCATAGCATCAGCATAGCCATAGATGCATAGCAAAATAGCATCAGCATAGCAATAGCAAGCATAGCATAGATGCATAGCATAGCATTAGCATAGCATAGCATAGCATAGCATAGCATAGTTTACATAGCATAGCATAGCATAGCATAGCCGAGAGGATAGCATGCATACGCATTAGGCATAGCTCATAATAGCATAGCATAGCATAGCATAGCATAGACATAGCATAGCATAGCATAGCATAATAGCATAGCATAGCCATCTAGCATAGCATGCATAGCTAATACAAGGCAATAGCACACAAGCATAGCCATATGCATAGCATAGCATTAGCATAGCATCGCATGTAGCATGATAAGCCATATAGCATAGCATAGCATAGCATTAGCATAGCCCATAGCATATGCATAGCATGAAGCATAGCATAACATAACATAAAACATAACATAACATAACATAACTAACAGGTAACATGAGATAAGATAACATCAGGAGTGAATAATAATACATTATTATTAATATAGATCTATTATTATTCACTCCTGATAACATAACATAACATAACATAACATAACATAGCATCAGGAGTGTATAATGTAGATTCTGTATTCTATATATATATTCCATATAGGGTTATATTCTATCTCTATATTATACACTCTTGATAACATACATAACATCAGCTCTTGATAACATATATAACGTATTATAGTGTCCTATCGCCTACGTCCGCATTATATATAATTATTATTATTTTTCATAAATCTCTTCCCCGCTATGCCAATCATCTGTCTGCACGCAATGCATGCTGTCAGCTAACACACATATTATAATAGACTGCTAAGGATGACCAGCAGATAACCCCTGAAGGCTGGAGGTGGGTAGGCGGATGGATCTTGGCTGGCTTCTTGCCAACATCATGTGCGTGCTAGTCAGTGCCTACGTGATGGCTGTGCTAATTCTGGCATCAAACTCTATGGCAACGCTTCTGATTCATACTTCATCCATCACTTTGCAGGAATCCGTGGGAATATGTGATTGCGCAGTTATTTACAGATATACCATCATGGTTCTAGTAGAAATGTATGTCGTTCGTAATAAGATTATACCCAGTTGCATGTGTTAGCCACTGCGAATGGAACGCTATACTAAATGCGTGTTTTCGAAATAATTTTCGCAAAGTTAATATTTATTCGCCCTTCCATCGTCACAGATGCTGAAACTTTATAGCTAATCATAGTCCGAATGCCACTATATATGCGTGCGTGCGTGCGTGCGTTTGTGTGTGTGTGATGTTGAGTGTGTGTGTATGTATGTGTGCGCTGCGTGCGTGTGGTGTGCGCGTGGTGTGTGCGTGCGTGCCGTGCGTGCTGTGTGATGTGTGTGCGTGTCGTGTGTGATGTTCATGATCAAGCACTATAGCTTCTTGGCATTTAGACTGTCAGCTGTCACGCGTGAACGCACGTACGTATCTAAGAAAGTAGACGATTTTTTCGTGTTCAGTTCGAGTCCCAGTCCTATAACACATCATGTATAGAGCCTCTATGAAGACCCCCTGCAATTAGTTTGTCATTATTAATTACCTCTGCTGCAATGCTGTCGACATTCATCTGAGTTTCACGCGTACACACCATATATCAGGAGTGTCCTAATATCGACTATATATGTGAACTGATATCGACTAGTATGAACTCAATATTATCAGGAGTGAATAATAATAGTGTCTATTATTATTCACGTACTCCTGATATTATGATACTCCTGGCCATATAGCATAACCACGGATATAGATAGACCAAGCTCTACCGGTGTAGCCCCGTCGCTCCCGCTACAGGTACGGTTCTTATAGCGGAAGCGAATTAGGGGCTACACCGGTAGAGTTAGGAATTAGGATAGACCCTTCTATACGCAGGGTTATACGTGAGCAGGACTGTATAATATCGATTATATCAGGAGTGAATCATAATAGCTTCTATAGATAGGTGGGCGATAGACATAGGTGAGTAATAAATACTAATAATATATTCTATTATTATTCACTCCTGATAATTATATCTATATTATACACTCATGACGTGATGATAGCGTAAAAGCTTCGTACACACGTCCATTGTAAACGCCATGCTGGTCAGTAAACTCAAATAGCAAGCCCGTCGTTTAGTCCGGCTAGATTGAAAGGTCAAGCATAGATCGAAGGCATAATTATGATACCTCACTACTCTATATAGATACTAATGAGGCCAAATAGAGGCAATATCAATTACAGTATAGGTATATATACCCACAGGCACTTGGGACAGAGTCAGTAAAAACTGAAAATAATATGAACGCACATTCACAAATACTACGTACCGTACCTCTCAATTACAGTTCCACTGTCATATTATTATCATGGCGACACAGCACACTCGCAGCAGCGAGTGCGGGAGCGTTATAGGCGTTAGTTTTTATGAAGGGAAGTTGATATACAGTGACACAACAGTGGAACTGTGCTTGAGAGGTACGGTAGTATTTGTGAATGTGCGTTCATATTATTTTTAGTTTTTACTGACTCTGTCCCAAGTGCCTGTGAGATACATGATCATACACGCCCATATCCTGATACACGAACTTGGTTCACCGACAACGCCCGGCCGTGCTGCTCCTATTATGATAATATCGATCCACTACTCTGCGAGTCTAACATCAGTAGGCAATCTCGGTGCATGCTGCATATCTTTGCGTGTAGTTGCATGATTTACATTATTCATCGTATATAGCTTGATACTTTGACTGATGTGATGTTTGCTATACATAAGCGGGATATATTGCAAACGTATATATACGCGTGATTTAGCAGGTTACACGCACTGTCAGCCGGGTGTATGAACTAGTATACCCAACCGTCACCATCACACACCCACACCCACACCCGCCCGCACGCACACACGCAGGCACGCACGCTGCGCACACACACACGCACGCACACACACACACACGCGCGCGCACGCACGCACGCACGCACGCACGCACACACACACACACACACACACACACACATACCATTCAATCACATAAACACATTACGCGAATGTTAGTGTGCATAATAATGTATAAGGACTTCTGCCGGAGATAATTGATGTGCACAAATACATGTATCAGATTCATTATAAGTTAATTGTGCGTAATTGCGTGATGTTGCACACTGCATGTACACATCTATGTAACATGTGTGATATATGTTGCAGCTTGCCTTTACACACGCACGTGTCTTATGTTGCAGGTTGCATTTACACAACAATGCATTGAAGGTGAAGGATACGTGTACACAACAAATGCAAAACGTTGAAAGATATGTGTACACACATATGCATGATGTTGCAGGATATGTGTATACACATACTCATGATGTTGTAGGATATATGTGTACACAACAATGCATTGAAGTTGAAGGATATGTGTACATGCATACGCATGTTGCAGGTTGCATTTACACAACAATGCATTGAAGGTGAAGGATACGTGTACACACATATGCATGATGTTGCAAGATACGTGTACACATACATATACGCATGACGTTGCAGGTTGCGTGTACAGCATGGTCGCATTCGGGCCCGTCGTTGGCTTCCTGCTGGGAGCCTACCTCCTCAAGCTCTACGTGGACTTCTTCACTGTGGACGTGCTCCTGCTGCAGCTGTCTCCCCACGACCCGCAGTGGGTGGGAGCCTGGTGGGGAGGCTTCATCATCTGTGGCTTCCTCCTTCTCGTCGTCGCCGTACCGTTCTTTGCCTTTCCGAAGTCGCTGAGCAAAGACAAGGAGAAGCGAATGCTGGACGATAAGGGGATTAAGATGGTCGATTCGGTGCCAGGGAGTCCGAACAAGGGGCAGTATGGCAAGAGCCTGAAGGGTGAGCGTATTGGTGTGTGCAGGCACTTAGGCTGATAGCTAAGGGAGAAAGAGAGATTCATTAGTGTATAGTTACTTCACCTGATACCTCCTGCAGATAGAGATAGAGAGAGGACAAGAGAAACTTGGGAACTTCGGAGAGCAGATAGAGCAGAGACGAGCACTAAATGGACGCGATTGTACGAGAAGAAGTGATAGAGAGGAGCGCGCGTAGAGAGGATGCGAGAAGGGGCAAGCAAGGGGCAAAGCGGGGATACGGTGAGGAAGAGTGAGCCGGGAAGCCAAGGGGAGAAGCGCATCCCTCGATCTACGTGGACATTACGACTTCAGGCGGAAGAGCGGCCAGTGCTTATTGGAGTGGGGGATCGAGGGAGATGAGACAGACGACGATCGCGTGCTGCTGATAGTCAGAGAGAGAGCACCGAGAGGAGACAGGGAAGAGAGGGATCTGGGAAGGCAAGGCGGACTGGGATGTGAGCGGAGGGCCAAAGAGAAGGGGGAAAGCAAGGGAGGGATATAGTATAAGTCCAGGAAGGCAGAGTGGCAATGGGCCTTCCATGCATTGGACGGGGATTGCCAGAGCTGTAGTGATTCGAGGAGGATTAGAAGCAGAACGCTAGAGCGGGAAGAGAGGGAGGGAAGAAGGGCGGGGGATACGGAGGAAGAGAGGGAACAAGGGAGGGAAGTAAAGGCGGGGAGAGGCAGGGATGGATGGAGGGAGGTAGGATAGCCCCGAATAGAATGTTCGTAGGCAGACGAGCATTCGATTTAGGTATGAACCAGGAGAGAGATATGGGAATGGAATATATAGGTTAAGCTGCTGCTAGTTGGCTATTGTATTTAATGAGTGAGATTGAGATTGGAGGAGACCCGCGAGGATGGAGAGAGAGAGGTTCATTAGTGTAATTTCTGTACGCTGCTACCTCGTGTAGCAAGAGCAAGAATACGAGAGAGAGGAAGGAGTTGGAGAGAAAGAGAGCGATAGTGAGCAAGTGATGCAAAGTGAGAGAGAGAGAGAGAGAGAGAGAGAGAGAGAGAGAGAGAGAGAGGAGAGAAGGCGAAGGAGCGAGGAAGGGATGGAAGACGGAGAGAGATACGGAGGACGAGAGGGAGCAAGGGAGGGAAGTAAGGACGTGGAGAGACAGGGATTGAGGGAGGGAAATAGGGAGGGAAAGAGAGAAGATACAACGCCTCCGCAGCTTTCTTCTGGAGAGGGATGAAATAATGTAGGTGCTGAAAGTTATATACCGTTTAGAAATGTTATTCCTGCAACAGCACCCTGTCCTAGCTATACCTCATAAAGATGGACTGTTCTGCTAACAAGGTTTTCATATAATATAGACATCCACTCAAGTAGCTCTCATATATACAGTGCAGTATTCAGGGACCTATTCTAGCAAGAAACTGTAGCTTTTACGCACACATTACCTATGCTGATAGTGCTGCTGTATTTTGTCAGGACCACACAGGAATGTCCTACAATCAATGCTTGCAGGCATCGTGGTTATTTAATTTAATTAGATATCCCGCAGTCATACAACTCATACACATTTCCTAATTATCACCTAAAGATGTCCCACCGTCGCGAATTACTTTATTAATCGTTATACGTGTAGATCGATATACCACAGTCATGTAAGATATGCGCTTACTTTCGTTATTACGTGGAGATATTCTCTATTTCATATATTGCTTTCATTTTTGTCATCATGTGTAGATATCCCACAGTCATGTAAGGTATGCGCTTACTTCCATTATTACATGGAGATATCCTATTTCATATATTGCTTTCATGTTTGTCATTGTGTAGATATCCCGCAGTCCATGTGGCATCTCATGACTAATGGAGTTTACCTCGCCACATGTCTGGGTGCGTGCATGGAGGTAGCCATTGTCAGCGGATTCGTTGTCTTTCTACCCAAGTACCTGGAGACACAGTTTGGTATCGGCAAGTCTGATGCTAACATTCTTACAGGTAAGGTAACTGTTGTGTGAGTGTGCTATGATAGTGTACCCCCAAATCTAGATATTTGGACTTTTTGTTGATTCTCTAGAGCTGTGTGAATGGTTATGTTTCATGATAAGTTTTGATAATTAATGTACTTTTACGAAGCTGAAAGATGGCCGGGATGGGTTAAAAGTTCATATCGAAATCGAGTGATTAGAACAGAATTTACGGTAAGGCTATACAGTATAAACAAGCCATTTTTACACATATTGTTATTGTGTCTGTCTATCAGGTTAGGCAAAAAACCGTGACTGACAGCAAACATCATTGACATTCCTATTCCACAAATCGGCCATATATAGTATTTTTTCACGTGCATACAACCAGATACTGTAGTAATTTAAGGTAAATCGGAAATCTGCAATGAATTGTTAAAGTTTGCATGAGTGGATATGACAGATTACAACTTTGAAAATTCGTATGGATAATTTAGCTTGGCACTCAAACCAGAGGAAAATTCTAGCACTGACGCAGTTACATTATTCAAATGCTATAATCTTCACTTGCGAGCTCCACTCTCTTTGAGCGTATATCTGTAACTGTAAGAGGATCGAATTTTTGTATGAGGGCAAAATGTTGCGACGATGCACTCAATCAGCACCATGCAGTGGAGCTGGTGAATCATGGGTGTGAATTTGATTTTATGTATACGCGTGTGTTTACTTGTAGGTGGAGTCGCTATTCCAGGGGCTTGCATAGGCATATTTAGCGGAGGATATCTTCTGAAGCGCTTCCAGATTCATCCACCAGGGGCAGTGCGCTTTGTGTTACTCGCCAACGTGCTGTGTTTGAGTCTGTTCTCAATCATCATCTTTCTTGGCTGTGATAATGTGAAGATGGCAGGAGCAACCATATCCTACAATGACAGGTATATGAGCTATATATGTATTAAACCATATAACCTGCACAGGTAAATACAATTAAAGATCCCACGCACATTTTTGTAACAAACCACTGTAAAAACGCATGTAAATGACTCACTACACTATTGGCTATTGCTAGTTAGAACGTTAGAACGTTAGCTTTGAAAATAAAACTGTAAAAATATGTATCAAACCTATATTTGCTAAACGAAAAAACAACTTGAAAATCGCTGTTCGCAGCGGTTCTGTATAATGGCAGTTCGGTGTAAAGGCTCATGCATTTATTGTATCCCCCGCGACGAAGTCGGCGGGGATACTATATTTTCAAGTCTGTCCAGCCGCCGCCGCTCGGTCCGCTGCAGGAATTTTCCATTCTGCTCTATAACTCGACCCCTAATTGACCTAGCGTGACCAAACTTGGTCTACTTACACATCTTGGGGAGAAGGTGCGCAGTGTACCAAAACCAGGTCACTGCGACCTTTATTTGACCTTTACCTTGACCTTGATCATATTTCCCTTCTGCTCTATAACTTGGCCCCTAATTGACCTAGCGCTACTAAACTTGGTATACTTACACATCTTGGGGAGAATGTGTGTCGCGTACCAAAACAAGGTCACTGCGGCTTTTATTTGACCTTGACCTTGACCTTGATCATATTTCCCTTCTGCTCTATAACTCGGCCCCTAATTGACCTAGCGCTACTAAACTTGGTATACTTACACATCTTGGAGAGAATGTGTGTCGCGTACCAAAACAAGGTCACTGCGGCTTTTATTTGACCTTGACCTTGACCTTCATCGCATATTTCCCTTCCGCTCTAATAACATCGGCCCCTAATTGATCTAGCGCGAGCAAACTTCGTATACTTACACATCTTGGGAGAAGGGTTCGCGTACCAAAACCCTAAGGCAACACAATTTAACATATTGCACATCTCAGGCAGATGAGTTGTGTAACAAACCTTTGTCTTTGTGATTATTTATTTAACTTTACCTACCTTCTACGTCCTTACAGAGTATATTTCATTCATTACTCGATCACGGGGGATACATGTAGTTGGCGACAACTGCCCTTTCTAGTTGATCGATGATGACGTAATACGTCACAACATCGCCGCCAGAGCGACAAAAGTAAACGCTGTTAAAACATTCGACCTGACACTTTCACTTTGTAGTCTAAAAGCTTGGAGGATCGTATTCCGAGCATTTTTTTACCTATCTATCCACACATATATAGGCAAGTACAAACATGCAGTGTTAAAATAATTCATTTCTGCCTTATTTTATGTTTGCCACTTGAAATTTCGTGGGAAGGCACCTTTAAGCTAACTATACTTACAGCTTATAGCCATACATAACTAACCTCGTCTTCTTCTTCTTCTTCTTCTTCTTCTTCTATCCTTCTCTTCTTCTCTTCTTCTTTCTCTTCCTTTTTTTCATCATCTTCTCTTCCTTTTGTTCTCTTCTTCTTAGACTTCTTAATTCTTCTTCTTCTTCATCATCTTCTTTTTCTTCTCTTCTTTTTCTTCTTCTTTTTCTTAGCTCTTCTTCTTCTTCTTCTTTTTTTTTCTTCTCTTCTTCTTTTTCTTTTTCTTCTCTTCCTTCTCTTCTTCTTCTTCTTCTTCTTCTTCTTCTCGTAGGCACAGACGTGGATGTATAATCAAACGTCTCACAAATATCCTAAACAGACAAGCAGGTTTACTCTGCATGTATCCACATTAATAGACAAGCTATAAGCTAACCACATTCCCCACATATATACATGCATAAATAGGTAATCATATCAGCACTCCTACAGATACAGATGTTATAGTTAACCACATCAGGCGTGTACGCACGCACGTACAAACCCACGTACACATAAACGTATATGAACTTGTACAAATACCCAATGTACGAATGCATTCACGTACGCACGCACGCACGCACGCACGCACGCACGTACCCCTACTAAACACAAATATTGTCAAAAACTGTTAATTTTGCAATAGCAACGTATAGATATTATCAGGAGGGAATAATAATAAATCGATTATTATTCACTCTTGATGCTATGTATGAACATTGTTCATCATAAAACCGTGTGCACTGATGCTTCAGCATTGACACTCTTGAAAAATTCTTGCAGTCCGAATGACAAACCATTCCATATCAACCTGACATCGCAGTGCAATGCGGACTGTCAGTGCTCGCACAACGATTTGGAACCAATCTGTGGTATAGACGGCATCACCTACTTCTCTCCCTGCCACGCAGGCTGCACGCAGTTCTATCCACCGATCATTCGCGGTGACCTGGAACTGCAGGTAACACCCTGGTAGATGTATTACTGAGATATCGTATTAAAAACTTCAACACGAGAGTCATTTCGGGGTTAATTTTATCAGGTTTTCCAATCATGATTTAATTCTCGTGTATATGTATAGCTTTGATATTATGAATTTTCTAGATGTAGTAACGTATTTGTATGTAGAATACGCGGTCACTAATTATACCTTCATGTAAGATACTCAGGATAGAAGTTAACTTGTTTATACTTATAATACTTTATATAATTCACGATCTAGCACGCTTCACCAATCTTTCGGTGGCAGTAATTCACACAATCGAGTGTGTACCAGTGACAGTCAATCGGTGACAACGCTGACAGTGCGCGCGCTTATGAATAATTTCTCCCGCCAGATGTCACTACTATTGACCGCATCGACTGCAATTCAAACGTAGCAGGTGGCTTTTGCGTGTACGTAGATTAATTCTCTGATATGTATATTTCAGAATTACACGGACTGCGCGTGCATTACTGGTAACAAGACAGTGCAGCAACTGGGGCAGCTGCTGCTAGCAAGCTCAGGGGAGTGTCAGCGTAGTTGCGACATGCTCATTCCCTTCATGGCACTGTTGTTCGTCATGACTCTACTCGTGTCCATCACCAACATGCCTGTTGTGATGATCACTCTCAGGTGAGGTTCCCTCTTGTAGTACGTATGGCCAGGGCCGTAGCCTCTGGGGGGGGGGGCATATAGCGACCTAGCTTTTACTGTGAATGATTACCCTTAGATCATGCTAGCTATTACCAAATTTAACCATTACTGCGAATGGTATTCTTCCATACTATGCATAAAATGCAGTATATTTACAGGGTATGGGATATAAAGTCATACTCTCAATAGATCCTGCTCCACCCCACTGTAATTATTTTGAGGTATAGTTGCATGTCATTATTAACTATAGCAATGAAAACCTCGATAACAGCATGGGTACAACATCTCTACATTATATATTGTCATGCCAAAGCCTCTGGAGTAAATGTTTTTTTGTGTATAAGGCCATTACTTCTCGCACTCCTAGTAGAAATTACTCTACCCCGAGTTCTGCTCGTCTGTGGTTAAATTCCCATCAATCGTAATAATCATAATCATCTATCAATAATAATAATAAAATATAGCTATGCTCATGCATAACGTTTACCAGTAGATTACCTTTGTCACCTTTCTCACCTGTATCTTCTCTGCATCACCACCACCAATTACCTTTTATATTCTATTTCACTGTCACCCTGACGGATGAGTATACTTAATGCATCTTATACAATATCTGGTTATTGTTTATAGGTCAGTAGCAGAAGAGGAGAGAGCATTTGCTCTTGGAATGCAATTTGTAATCTTTCGGCTTTTCGGTAAGTGCAAAAACATTGAGGAATTTACTCAAGCAATATACTTCACATTAGTGACATGTGACACTCGTAGAACACACATGCTACACGTGGAAACAATTATATGCAATGTCATTTCGCAAATGTTACTTTTTGTCGTTTGCAACTGGCTGCCTTGTCACATTAATTCCCACCTGTCATCATTCACGTTCTCATATGCCTGCATCCTTGTTTTCACCTGTCATTGTCAGCTTTCTCACCTGTTTACATCCTTATTTTCACCTGTCTGCATCCTTAATTGTTTTCACCTGTCTACATCCTTGTTTTCACCTGTCTGCATCCTTGTTTTCACCTGCCTGCATCCTTGTTTTCACCTGCCTGCATCCTTGTTTTTACCTGCCTGCATCCTTGTTTTCACTTGTCTGCATCATTGTTCTCACCTGTCTGCATCCTTCTTTTCACCTGTCTGCATCCTTCTTTTCACCTGTCTGCATCCTTCTTTTCACCTGTCTGCATCTTCTTCTCGGCCTGTCTTGCATCCTCGTTTCACACTCCTGCATCCTTGTTTTCACCTGTCTGCATCCTTGTTTTCACCTGTCTGCATCCTTGTTTTCACCTGTCTGCATCCTTGTTTTCACCTGTCTGCATCATTGTTCTCACCTGTCTGCTTCAATGTTCTCACCTGTATGCTATCGGCTTGTTTCACCTGTCTGCATCATTGTTTTCACCTGTCTGCATCCTGTTTTCACCTGACCTGCATCTTGTTTTCACCTGCCTGCATCTCTGTTTTCACCTGCCTGCATCCTTGTTCGTCAACGGTCTGGCATCCTTGTTCTCACTGTCTGCCAATCCTTGTATTCACGGTGTCTGCATCCTTGTTTTCACTGTCTGCAATCCTTTGTTCTCACCGGTCTGCATCTTGTTTACCTGCTCTGCATCCTTGTTTCACTCTGCACTCACGGTCTGCATCCTTTTTTCACCTGGTCTGCATCTTGTTCTCCACCGGTCTGCATCCTTTTCTTTCACTGATCTGGCATCCTTGTTCTCACCGGTCTGCATCCTTTTTTTCACCTGTCTGCATCCTTGTTCTCACCGGTCTGCATCCTTTTTTTCACCTGTCTGCATCCTTGTTCGCACCGGTCTGCACCTTCTTTCACCTGTCTGCACCTTGCTTCACCTGCATCATATTCTCACCTGTCATCCACATTATCACTTGCCACATCGTCTCACCAAGTTAATGCTCATCTGCAGGCCATGTTGTTCTATCTGCGCAAGTTACATATTCACATAGTCACACCTGTCGTCCACATTATCACTTGCCACGTCGTTTCACATGCAGGTCCGTGTTAATTCTTATCAGCAGGCCATGTGAATTTGCTATTTGCTTACGTTGTTCTATATGTCATCTCACACGTGTTAATTCTGTGTTAATTTTTATCTCAGGCCTGCGTCGTCCATAGGTTCTGTTAATTTATCATCAGACACTTTGTTCTATCGTGCGCAGGTTACATTCCCGCTCCGATCGTCTTCGGAAACACGATCGACACAACCTGTGGCTGTGGAAGGAGCAGTCGGCGACTCCGGCTCCTGCCTGCTCTACCAACATCGAACAGTTCCGATACAAGTTCATTGGTGTCTGCACTGTTTGAAGTTCCTCGCGAGTGCAATGTTCCTCATCGATTGGTTCCTCACAGCAGACGACAATCTGCGTGGCAACGGAGGTGAGTCATGCACGACTTTTCTTTATAATGACTAATTAAAATAATGACTAATTAATTAAATTTAAACGCTGAGCTTTACCATTTATGCGTTCTGCAGTCCATGCAGGTTTCACAGTCTGGTGGGGGGGGAGCAGTGTAATTATTGCATGGTGTTGAGTCGCCACACGGCTCTTCTTTTTATAATGACCATTATTTCCAAAACTACATATATATGTGCAATTCATTTTAAACGATGTCAACAATGACGGCAGTGAGTGTCAAACGGTTTTTTTATGATGACCAATTAAATAATGATTAATTAATTTAATTTATTTCCAAAAGTACATATATATCAGAAGTAGATAGTAGTATTATCTACTTCTGATATATATTGTATGATTCATTTTACACAATGTCGGCAGTAACGTGAAGGTGACAAGGATTGCTGATCGTACAAAAGTCAGGTTAAAGATACAGACAGATATAGCTGCAATATATAGATAGAAATATATAGACAGATGCATACTACTAACCTAGTGAGTCACATAGCTAACAGTTGAGCTTTACCATTTATGCGTTCTGTGGTCCAGGAGATTTCACAGTTTGGGTGATGTGGCAGTGCAATTCTTTGATGGAACTCTTGGAATTCTTCATAATTTGTGTAGTTCGTTTATAAATACGCCATCAAAATGCTAGTAAGTGATCACAGAGCATTAGAGATCCTGCCACAGTACAAATGAGCAAGAGTGAACTAGAATTATGTAAAACAGATCTTAGGCATGACTATAATTCCCTAATCGTACGTGAGTCGGGTTTTGAGGATGTTGGCTTGAGAGCTCCTATGTGACGTAGTTATGTCATGTTATACTATATATAGTGACTGACACCATGCCTCCTATCGCAGGAATAGGTAGAGTGGCAAAAGAGGCCAGATTTCAGTCACAGAAACTGGACAGTGGTGACAAGATGCTTCGTGCGTCAACTTCCGATGCTTTCGACCAACTTCCAACCGTCTCGAATTATGAGTCGAGCATTTGACACTCTGGAATGCGCAGGAATGTCACATCAACTCGGTGGTGCTTGCACATACATACGAGAGTGTCATATAGCATGGCTGATCACAGTCTATTCATGTCAGTGAGGAAATCCTGTGAACAGTTACATTGTACGTCAGTAAAAGAGCACGTACATGTACATCAGTAAGACAGGGGTACATTGTAGATTAGTGAGGACACAGATACATTGTACATCAGTAAGGACACAGATACATTGTACATCAGTAAGGACACAGATACATTGTACATCAGTAAGGACACAGATACATTGTACATCAGTAAGGACAGGGGTACATTGTAGATCAGTGAGGATACAGATACATTGTAGATCAGTGAGGGATCACAGATACATTGTTAGATCAGTGAGATAACAGATACATTGTGTACGATCAGTGAAGGAATACAGATACATTGTAGATCAGTGAGACACCAGATACATTGTAGATCAGTGAGGGTACAGATACATCCAATACGATCAGTGGACGACACAGGATACAGTTGTAGATCAAGTTTGGATACAGATAACATTGTAGATGGCAGTTGAGGAACACAGGATACATTGTAGATCAGTAGGGTACAGATACAATCTGTAGATCAGTGTTGGATACAAGATACATTGTAGATCAGGAGGACACAGATACATTGTAGCTATCAGTGAGGGGTAGCAGATAGCATCATGAGATCAGCTGACGACAACAGATACATTGTAGATCGGTTTGCGATACAGATACATATGATAGATAGTGAGGACACAGAACATTTGTAGATCAGTGAGGGTACAGATACATGTAGTCAGTGAGGACACCAGATACATTGTACGATCCAGTGAGGGTACAGAATACATTGTAGATCCAGTTTGGATACAGATACATTGATAGATCTGAGTGAAGGCACACGATACATTGTAGTATCAAGTGAGGGTACAGATACAGTGTAGATCAGTGAGGACACAGATACATTGTAGATCAGTGAGGACACAGATACATTGTAGATCAGTGAGGACACAGATTAACATTGTAGATCAGTGAGGATTACAGATACATTGAGAGATGGCAGTTTTGATACAGAACATGTAGCATGCAGTAGAGGACACAGATAACATTGTAGATCAGTGAGGACACAGATAGCATGTGTACACTCAGTAAGGACACAGATACATTGTACATCAGTGAGGATACAGATACATATGTAGATCAGTGAGCGACACAGATAACATTGTAGATCTAGCTGACGACACATGATACATTGTAGGATCTGTTTGGCATAACAGATACATTGTAGATCAGTGAGGACACAGATACATTGTAGATCAGTGAGGACACAGATACATTGTAGATCAGTTTGGATACAGATACATTGTAGATCAGTGAGGACACAGATACATTGTAGATCAGTGAGGGTACAGATACATCTGTAGAATCAGTGAGGACACCAGAAATTGTAGATCTGTGAGATCAGAGTGCTTGAACATCATGACGACACAGATACATTGTACAATCTGTTTGGATACAGCATACATTGTAGATAGTGAGGGACACAGATAGCATTGTAGATCAAGTGAGGATCACGATACGATTGTTACATCAGTGAGGATACAGATACATTGTAGCATCAGTGAGGGACACAGAATACATTGTACATCACCTGCAGGAACACAGCATACATTGTACATCAGTGAGGACACAGATACATTGTAGATCAGTGAGGACACAGATACATTGTAGATCAGTGAGGACACAGATACATTGTAGATCAGTGAGGACACAGATACATTGTACATCAGTGAGGATACAGATACATTGTACATCAGTGAGGACACAGATATATTGTACATCAGTAAGAACACAGTTACATTGTACATCAGTAAGAACACAGATACATTGTACATCAGTAAGAACACAGATACATTGTACATCAGTAAGGACACAGATACATTGTGCATCAGTAAAGACCAGCTACATAATATACAATCAGCATGTATTGCTTGAGCAGCTGCAAGCAAGGAATATATTGTCATATTTGAAGTTATTCGACGTATTTCAATGTTAATTATGTCTGAACGGATTAATTGTATTACTAAACAATGTTCGTATTGTAAAGATTGATATATCTTCTACAAATGTACGAATGTCAACATGCACAACTCTTTGTCTGCCCACTTTGCTAGTGGCTGTTCATCAATAGGTGGCGCCACTTTGAAGTTTCGTTCTCCCATGATCATCTTGTGATTATATAGTCAGTTTATTGGTTACAGGCCAAGAAGCAATATTTTTATTGTCGTTTGAGAGTAGTTCCACTACTTCCATTTATGGAAAGGAAATAATTGAGCCGTTACAGATGTCAGATGTAGTCACACATAGAGTGTGGAGGCAATAGCCTTGATAAAACGAATCCTTTTCAGTTATATCACAGCATTCATTAAATTGAAGTTGCACCTGTCTGAACTGTCTCATCGCATTTGACTGGGATGGCACGTTCTGTCAGATTTTTTTTACAACTTCGCGATAGTGTACAGATGACTACTTCGCTCATGTCAAACCTACATCGTTATATCAACCTGAATGTTTGATGCATTGAAATCATACCGTGCTTTTGCCTTTGTGTAACATTTTACCATAAAAGCATGCGTTCTTGATGCGTTGTGTCTTTTGATGCAAAAGTGTACATCGGGCGGGCATATGCATGAGCAACTTATATACTGTACACTTTATTGAGGTTTTGGATAAGTATATCATGACTAGGGTACGTAAGATTAGGAAATACGCTTATATACCCACTGAATTATAAAGTTCTAATATTATATCTGTGCTGCTGTGCATTCCTCTGCATTACTCTCTCGTGAAATTGTTGCTCTAGCAGAGGTTCGTGAATGCTTCGTCGGTGTTTCTAGAATTCATGGCTGGTCCATGACTTCCAACGAATAGTCAGTTGTTTATAAAGATGTCCACGTGCTGTTCATGGGCTGTCTTCTGACACAGTAAGAACATACATGTACGTTACGTACGTTTACACGTGCAATTTGAGAAGCAGGATAACTATAAACAGCATCGTGCGTGATATTCTCGCCACTGTAGCATGATCTTTTTATCTTATATATATGCGAATTTTTTATATATGAGCTAAGTGGTCATGTTCGGTGAAATTGAATCAATCCATATGGTATCGTTGATTCATATCTTGGCTCATTAATCAATTGTTCAATTCATATTTTCAATTTGTACATATTTATATATATATGTGGAAATGTAAATATATATATATTTGATATTTATTTTGTATATCATACATGTCGTATATTTTACGGACTGCGTTTAAGCAGATTAGAAATTAACAACTAATTGTAATAAACGCTGTGACGTGAAGCCTATTACGTGACAACAAATGCTTTAAGTGCATCGCCAGTAATTTATAGCTTTATAAAAAAAACAGATGGCGGGTTCTTGTTTTCAGGCGTATATAATTTTTATTTTATTTTACCCCTAATGGATTGATAATCTATGTAAAGTGACATATAAATCATGATATATGTATAATAATAAAAGACTTTTCATTGTATTGGAGGGAGCTGTTTTAGGATTATGATGTTAGACATTAACTCATTATACTGAGTATGCATGGGTACAATTTACATCGGTGCATACTCTTGGAAAGCATGATACATGCATGCATATATCATATATATGTATATATATGTACATGCATGAATCATGCATGTTTCTTGCATAAATAATAGAATATAATACCCTGCCCAGACAGGTATTTTTGTGACTGTTTTGCACATAAAACGTGAATGAATTATCATGCATAAATTTTCACGTACCAAAAGTGAAACCGTTTTCGTCAAAAACACTCCTGCAAAATGAAAATTAATGGGTGATACATAAACAGTATATTCTCTGTACGAAGCATACACATGAAATAATCTATGGACAATTCCACGTATGCGCCATAAAAATTCCTAAACATAACATTTCCTTTAATTATTATGCATGAAACATGAAATGTTTTCCTCCATACCTCCAAGATACCTCCTAGATCGCCTATGTTTCCTATATGTTTTATAAAACTTCTATATTTTTTACACAACCTCTTATATTTCCTATATTTTGAGTGGCTGGCAATTTTTGGGTAACTTGTTATGGGGAGAGATCATCTATTATATTGCCGACCAAGTCTCTTGTATAGACAGATATTGGACTTTCATTGCCAAGATCATACGTTCCAGCAATCTTCTCTATAATAATTCCTTGGCTCCTGAGACATAAGTGGGTATAGTATTCTTATTTGTTTGACAATGCCTTGGCAGGCAGTTTTGAAGATTTGCTTGTGTATCCTGTCCGTGGCATCTGTCATGTTTGTAGTTAGATTACCAGCAACTAATCCTTGGCATAAAAAATTATATTTGTAGGATGGATGACACTAGCTCATAAGAACATCTTCACCAGAACTTGCTGTAGTCCAATATCAAGGCACTTCACTAGCTTCTATCTAGTATGTCATGTGTCCTTTCTAGTGTAATTAAATTTCTTCTTTTACAGCGTAAAATGGCACTTTTGACTGAAATTGCTATAAATAAAAATCAATCAACTGTCAAATTTATATCACAAAATCGAGTGGCTATTCTAGTAAGAAGATAAACATATGTCTGATGGTTTGAGATATATTTTTGCTCTCTTTTTATAGGGATACTAATGTAATAAATGAAAAATAACTGGTGAACCACCATAAATATAATTTAAATTGTACATTTATTACAGATGTAATGTGCGACATCAATACTCACTGCAAATATTATAAAATTTAATATAATATTCATATTCATGTATGTATGTATACTACCCCAACACAATATTACAGCACAACAAATGGCATGTTCAAGATATACATATAGGCCTATGTCCTATTATATGCATTGAAAACTTTATTTGTTTATTATAGTATATGCTCCTCGCTTTGGAGTAGTGGTTTATCTTGTAGCTACTACTTACAGAGTGGTGATAGCCAGGAGCTAAAGTAGTGGCAAAGGGTTTATACTACTCCGCATTAGAACTGTGGTGCTTTTGCATGTACTGCCGTTGCTAGTAGTTACTAATTAACGAATAATCAATGACTTTATATAACAATGACATGTGATGAGATTGCATGGTTTGTACTTCAAATGTATTCGTATGCTTGTCGTCTATCCAATTATCTGTCAGCAGTTATATGACGCTGACTTCCATTGTATATAATAGAATAAGTTCTTTTTCAGATCTTTTTCTACTTGTTCTCGTGAAGCCAATTCATCTGTGCATGGTTTGCCGTAAGGTATGTAGGTTAGAACACTATAGGAACTTTACTCTGCATGCGTATTTACCTTTCCTGTTGTGAATGCTGAAAATTTGTTTGTCATGTCTTGTACAGCATTTGTTTAGTGCAAAACAACAACTTCTTCCTAAACGGCTTTAGTGGCTGCCATCAGTTAATTGTCGGTCCTTTTCAAAAAATCACCATGTATATAAGGAACACGTATGTAACGTAGGGGCCTACTGTTGTGCTGGGGCTCTATTATAAATTCACGTATTTGCTATTTGCTTACGTTGTTCTATATGTCATCTCACCGTGTTAATTCTGTGTTAATTTTTATCTGCAGGCTGCGTCGTCGCTAGGTTCGTGTTAATTCTCATCTGACACGTTGTTCTATCGTGCGCAGGTTACATTCCCGCTCCGATCGTATTCGGAAACACGATCGACACGACCTGTCTGCTGTGGAAGGAGCAGTGCGGCGACTCCGGCTCCTGCCTGCTCTACAACATCGAACAGTTCCGATACAAGTTCATCGGTGTCTGCACTGTTTTGAAGTTCCTCGCGATGTCCATGTTCCTCATCGATTGGTTCCTCATCAGCAGACGACATCGCTGTGGCAACGGAGGTGAGTCATGCACGACTTTTTTTTATAATGACTAATTAATAATAATGACTAATTAATTAAATTTAAATGCTTGAGCTTTACCATTTATGCGTTCTGCAGTCCAGCAGGTTTCACAGTCTGGGGGGGGGGAGCAGTGTAATTATTTGATGGTGTTGAGTCGCAAACGGCTTTCTTTTTTATAATGACCATTATTTCCAAAACTACATATATATTGTGCAATTCATTTTAAACGATGTCAACAATGACGGGCAGTGAGTGTCACACGGTTTTTTTTATGATGACCAATTAATAATAATGATTAATTAATTTAATTTATTTCCAAAAGTACATATATATCAGAAGTAGATAGTAGTATTATCTACTTCTGATATATATG